GGACCCATGGAAATTACATTCTTTACTTGGTTCTCACAGTAATCTGTCCATGAAGTTGTAAGATAAATGTGAGGACTTCTGGTTAAAAAAGAACACAAACCAAAACAGTACGTTTATTCTAGAAACCTTTGTCATTCCAAAGATACATAAGCCTGTTAGACTAGACAATAGTAGTAGTTTCTGGTATGAAAAAGGTTTGTTTATGTATCTTCCACTTATTTACAGTTTAATTCTCTTGTCATTTCTCTGCAGTTGTTAGAGTTGAGGTGTCATATAATGCCCTCAGCTGCTTGGAAAAATGCAGAAATTGGGTGACAGATACGTAACCTGGTGTGATATATAACCGAGCGCCTCTGGAGTTATTGGAGTCTTATTAACATCTCTTCATAGTTTTTTGAGTTTTCCTGCTGCATTTCTGCAAACTCTAAAGTGCTTCTGAAAGAAACATTTACTAATGCTTATTTTGTTTTACTTATTCTCAGGTGGGTAAACTGAAGTAGGTATAGGTATGACCACAGTCACAAAATGGTGTTCGAGACACATGAAGCGCTTGCTAGATTTTTACCACTTCCAGGGTAACCACTCACTCCCTTTATTAAGGAAACAGATTTATACTTTTTTACTATAAATCCCTTAAATAGTATACATAACTTGGTTTTATATTTTTTATGTGTTTATGCTTTTACAGCCCCCAAAGCCCATATATTTATTTTAAATAGGAGGGAATGATTAAATTTTTGCATATCAGTATTGCATATATTATTAAAAAATTGTCTGAAATCAAACCTTTTGAAAGGACACAAATCTCTTTGTCTTCCCTTTGCTTAAACTTTTGTCATCTATTGATCTCTTCTCACTGTAGTTGTCTGAGCACTTTACTAGTCTTGACAACCTTGCACTCAGCTTTCAGCTCCTTACTTTCTCCTGATGGCAGTTTATTTCCTCCATGACTTCAAAGTTGCTTCTTTTGTTGCTGTTGATAGAAATGTTTGAAATTTGTTGTATTGTACAACCAAGGTGATCTGTCTTGTTTAAAATGTAATTTATGGTAACAGTGTAATGGATCTTCATTACTCTGAAAGAGTTCCGTAATTGCTGTAAAGGTGTCATTTAGGCCTTGCCATGGAGTGGTACGGGCTGTGACACGCTGGTGTCTAATGGGATCTCTAGCAGAATTTACAGAATTTCTGTAGAAAAGAATGAAAAATAAGTGCCTAGAAATTTCATTGCCCCTGAGCACTTACTGCATTTTTATGTGCTTGATGTGTTTTAAAATATAAATACGCAACCTGATAAAATATTTCAGAGTTTAGAATTTAATTTGCTGATTCTGAGGAAAGCTGATAAAATAGCAGCTACTAGAACTACCCCACCTGCCTGCCCAATAATTGCTCTGTACTTAGAGCAAATATTAGTGCTACTTCTTGCTATAGGGGATGGAGGGGTTTGCTGATGGACTGCTGCTGCAGTCATGATAGTTTTTGGAAATTTGAGGAAGAATAGGTCTGCGGGAGAGGATTTTTACAAATGCAAACGATTGAGATTGTTACAAGTGAATGGTTATTGGGGTGAGGGAGGGGGAAGGTGAATATGTTTAAGTTATTGCTCCAAGTTTTACAATTACAGTAAAAAAAAAAAAACCCAAACCAAACCTCCAATGTGCAGCCAAAATTGGGAGGGAGGGAGGGAAGAATATTTATTATGTTTCAGATCTGAAATGGAATGTAAGGAAGATCTAGATCCTATTTCACTTTGGCTTCACACCCCTATTATTTCTTGACTAATTGAAAAAAAATATTGTAATGGTTACTTTCAATATTTTTACACTGATTAATTGCATTTGACTCATCTTGTTATACTATGGTATAGTGCTTAGAGTGATATACTACTACATTTATATAGATAGGCAAGAAACACTATGGGAAGTTTTAATAGAGATCATGCCGTGCTATGCCTCTTCAAATATAGAAATACCTGAAGTTATTGATCACATACTACTGACTGAGTATCCCCAGAGGGGAAATGGTTTCTGAGACAAGTAGCAAGTCTTCATGGCAAAAGAGAACTTCTTTTTAAAAGAAAATCTATAGGTTCATTTCTGCTACTGTCAGTTGTGATCAAGTAAATTGTTTTAGTTCTGTGAGCAATCTCAGAACTGAAGCTTAATACATCTTCTCTGAAATAAGAATTTATATTAAATCTTGTATAGTAGTGCATGTTTCTCAGATCTATAAACTTGTACTGAATTTTGAGGGGAAGAACACATGCATATGCTGTTACTATTTCAGTGACAAGCTGTAGATTGTGAATGTAGTTTCTGTGCTGATGTTCATTGTGTTTGTCTAGTACCTTTCTTTTGAGGTGCCAATGATTTGTCTCTTCAGAGGCTGTTGAAGCAGAAGGGTCTCTAGTGAACTCATTTTTATTGTGAAACTTGATATGTATACACTCTGCATAGTTTGGATTAACACATTTTACACATGGCTCTTGGCTTCACTTGAAAACATTTCACAGGAGTGTTTTCAGCACTGTGTTGTTAAGTTTGAGAATGTATCTCTCAGCACATGGACAAGGATGTCCTGTAATTTAGGGCACTTTTTTTGTGAATTTTGTGTACCTAAAAAGAGGAAATAAAGTATATACAGACAAGCTATTTACTGCTTAATGTAAGCTGAAAATCTCTCTCCCAGTCTTACTATTTTACAAGTATTGGTCCTCATCTTTCTACGTGCTTAAGATAGTGTCAGTATTTCATTCCTTTTTTACTTTGGACTATCATGTTAAATGTTGCATAAACTTCTAAAGGGATTGTAGTTCTAAGACTTCATAGTTGTAATATTCAGTGAAGAGAATCTACAAGATTATTGGCACTGCAGAACAGCCTGATATGAATTTGATATTGTATAGTTATAATTTTGTTATGAATGGATAGTGTATCTTTGCTATGTATTGAACGTGAATAAAAAAAATACGTCTCTTCTAATACTCTACCTGGCTGTGGCAGAGATGCATTTGCTTACATGCATATATAAAACCAAGTGTCTGTGCGTGTCTATTTATATATATTATATATGTGCATATAATGTCATTATTTTTAAAGTACTATATCATTGTGTTAAAATTACAGGCAAGGTTCTGCTACTTTTAAGTAAGCAATGTTTTTAATTCCCTATGATGTTTACAAAAAAATAGTTGCTTATGTATGAATACTTTCATGAACAATAAATATATGCCCAAAAAGTGTGATTTAAATGGAGTGTGTCATAATATTTTTTTAATAATATGAGTTTGAAAAATGATTTTTTTACTTTTACAGCATGTGTGTAGAATTTACTTAGACTGAAAACAACAGGCTTATCACAATACTTTTAAACAGACAATACACCTGAGGGGTTTAGGCCTGTTTGTAATACATCTTACTAGGCTACTACGTGAGTTCACTAGTGCATAGTGCTGCAGGTATCTTTGAGCCTGGAGGTATGACTGTATTTTGACAAAATAAAACTGCAGTTTACAGTTCATGCAGAAGTTTGAGGGATGGGCACACAAATAATTAGCCTCACAGGAGGATGGTTTACAACTGCGTTCTACAGTGGGGTCAAAGAAGTATTTGTTGCATTCTGGTAGTAGGTTGTGCTGTTCAGGTACAAAAGCTCTAGATTTTAAGGGTTGCCATTTTACTTAAGTTTTGCAGAAATGTGAAATTACCTGC